ATATGTAATATACTTTTTATAAGAAACACTTTATAATTAGTATACTTGTTAGAACAGATACAAACAAGGCTATAATAAAGAAGTTATTTGATATAGCGAATTTGTATAGTTTCGAAAGCTGCATAGTCATAATAGATATAAAAAAGTACAAGTTTTTACAAGCAAACGTTTACAATTGAAAGTAAACTTTGAATATACTTATAATTAGTATTATATTATTTTGATACTAAATAAACATAATTCTATACTATTAATTTTCGTTGTTTTTTAATTTATTAGATATATATAATTATAAACTATTTGTATTTGAAAAAAGTAATCTAGTATTGCTTGCTTTCAGATAGTAATAGATAATATTTATTGAAATAATATTATATATTAAAGGTAAAAGTCTGATTATATAAAAAGAATTATATTAAATGATTTATATATATAAATAACAAAAGTATTACTACTTTTTTTAAGCTGGGGGAAATATAGTATACTATTTGGTAATGTTGTTTATTTAAACAAGTGTATATATAATAGTATAGTCTTGTTACGGGAGCTGCCTCTAGGGTCACGTGGAAGTGTCTAGAGATCTCTCGAGGTGGTTTAGACTAGACTTCAAGTAGGAATTCAATAAGGTTGTAACTGGTTGCAATTCTCGTAACTATAGTATGAAACTAATGATTGATCTTGAGCACGAAGCTCTACATTGTAATGAAACCCATTCCCTTATATAGACCTTCGTTCTCGTCTGGATAGCTTGGGTAGACTGTCTATCCTGTCTATCCACGGATAGCCTGGATAGCTTGCCTATCCTGTCTATCCATCACGTGACACTTGCCCCGTGACCTATATGATACTACTGCTTATCTAACCTGTGCTTACTAGATAACCTGTAACCGCTATCCCTCCTGTGCCTACTGTAGGATAGGTGCCAACAAAAGATAGGTACCTATCTTTTAATCATTGCTTATTGATTCGGTTACCGCTATCTTTCGTTACCCTTTAATCCAACTGTCCCTACAGTGCTGTTTTCGTAGGTTCCAACACCAAGGCCTTAGGTTTATCTTATAATCCATGTTGCGGTGCGGGTACCTCCGTAACAAGTCTTGATAAGAAGAATAGAACAGCTTTATTATAATTATTAAGATACCCGCCACAGATTATAATTAATATATTATAGTATAAAGAATAAATAAGTCTTATGTGAAAGATTAGATGAGATGTATTATAAAAGAAAATAATAAGAAATAAAAGAAGCAAATAAAGGTATAATTACGATAGAATAATAATAAATAATAATAGGATTATATAAAAAAAGAAGTAATATATAATAATATAATAATTAAAAGCGAAAGTAAAATTCTATAATATCTCGAAGAGTATTTGAAATATATATATTACTAACTTATAGATTGAAAAGAAAGTATTTTACTAATTATTTTTGAAAATATAAATATTATAAATTGTATATGTAATCGATATAATAGGATCTTATTATAGTAAATTCGAATAAACTTTAGAGAGAAATAGGTTTTATTATGTTTCCCTATTTACTTTATATAATTAAATATATTTAGATATATTATATAGTTAGTATAGCTTAGCTATAGATAGACTGAATCGATTAAGAATTTACTATTATTACTATTATGTTTTGAAAGAGATATTACATTAATAATCCGAAAAAGCGATTTTCAGTATAAATGAGTGGCTCGAAATAGGAGTGGTTAGAAAATGAGGGGTTTAACTTAATTCTATATCTTATGTACTTTGATTTGTTGTATTAAAGATCGATTATAGTCGCCGTCAACTAATACTATTAAAATTTGTTTAATTTTTTAGAATTTTCGATAAACTCACTCTTTGTTACGAGACTACTTCTAAGAGCATTAAGAAGCTTTATTACTATACTATAAAAGTATAAAAGACTAGAAAATAAAACTAAAAGTTCTATTTTACTCTTATATATATAGTAGAATAGAATAGAATAGAATAAAAAGATTAATATTATGTTGTAATATTATTTAATATATAGTTATATATCTTTAAATAAGAGAATTTCAAATATAATATTCTAATTCTTTTATTTTAATAGAAAATATTTGAAAAAAAGAAATAAGAGATTTTAAAATTGAGTTGTTATTTATATAATTAGGAATGATTTTTAATAAAATAATTTAAAGTTTATTTTGACAAGCTTTTTTAAAAAGTTTTAATGTATTTAATATATATTAGATAATGTTAATAAAATAATTATAATATTATGTGTATAAAATAAAAAGATTAGATAACAGTTCAAAATTAAGTTGTTATTTTACTTTCTTATAAATTCGATTATAAATCAATTATTATTTATATTAAATATTTTACTATATATTTAAGTTTCTTAAATTTAGAACTATCTAATCATATATTAAAAAGCTATTTCATAAATTCTTTCAAAATTAAATTTTAAATCAAATAAATTTAATGATTTTGCTTAACGGTGTGTTACGGGAGCTGCCTCTAAGGTTATGTGGAAGTGTCTAGAGATCTCTCGAGGTGGTTTAGATTAGACTTCAAGTAGGAATTCAATAAGGTTATAATTGATTACAATTCTTATAATTATAGTAATGAAACTAATGATTGTTCTTAAGCATAAAGCTCTACATTATAATGAAACCCATTCCCTTATATAGACCTTCTTGCTTAGTGTGATCAGTACAGCTCAGTACTGGTTTGTTTGTACTTTCATGGCTCAGTATCTATCCCGCTGAGGCAGACTGAGCCAACCACGTGACTTAGTGCCCAGTCCCGTGCCTATGTTGCGTTGTTCGTAACACGGTGTTTATATATATCTTTTGAAAATGTAACTTTTAAATACTAGAATCTTTAAACTAATAAATATAAATCTAAATTTCCATTTAATCTTTGAAAAGGTATAAATATATAGTAAACAATCCTATAAGCTTTTATAATATTAATCTTTTAAATTCATAAATTTTTATAATTAATTCTTTCTCTAATCTTTTTTATATTTTAAAACTTTTCAAGATTAATTATTTCTTTATTTTCTTTAGCTTTTGGTATTTGTAAATATTTTAAAATCTTTTCTCTAGTGGACAAAGTATTTAAAAACTCGAGTTTGTAATAATAACTATAAAGGGCATTGAGCTCAAGTTTGAACAGATTAACTTTCTGTCTCTACAAAAATATGAGAACTTCTGAGAAAATGAAGTAGAGGTTAATCGTCTACAGTTGCTTGGTTTTCGTAAACATGATTCTGTAGATTTTTTTAAATATAAAGTTGATTTCTCAAAATCAAGATGAAGCATTAGATTGAGGAATAACATTTGGCCGGGAACGAAGGATGCTCAGATTATGACATATGTATAAACGTTGGTTTGTCCGAGATTTCATCCGCATTTTATAAAGCTAAAAACGTGATAGTGTTGGAACGACTATCATACAAGAAACTTATTGATTGAGATTAGGACCCCGAGTACGCTATGGTTGACGGGCATGATGTATCGTGTCGTGCTATAATTTGATTAAGGAATTTTTCCACGCCAACACAACCTACTATCGTACTGGAATTCATGAGGGAAAAAATTAATTCAATTCTTATTTTTGAATCAGGGGTCTGGCATTGTATTTCAACAACATCATCCCACTAGATCAACAGCAGTTAACTATTATCGGCCTCGAAGGAACCTTTGGATAGTCCGCCCCTGCGTTACCGTGGCTGTACATATCTACTAGAAAACGTGGTTCTCTCGTTTTGAATCGAGATGGCTGGTAGTTGTCACTGCCCCTCTCACTTCAGTAATGCCAAGAACCTCGTGTATGAATTTTAAGCTTCATTCTGGTGCTGATGGATAGATCGCCAGCCCCAGGAAAATCAGATGGAAAGCTAGGATGGCCACGATGGCATGAAGTAAACAATTAAAGTTTGTGTATCCGAGGCGATGTCGTAAATCATTGGCCTGGGTCTTGATCCTCGTGTTTAATATTTACACTAATATCAATTCATCGAAGCTTCGGGTACCATCTCGAACCCCATTTCAGTGTGCCGATACGACCTATACGAGATATCATTTTTTTTCTTTCAGCATGACCCCCAACTTTCAATGAATCAAAATAACCGAGAAAAAGTCTCAAAATGGTTCTTTCTTATAATCGAAGATGAGTTTATCTTCATATTTGGGATGATTTGTGATTGACAAAATAGAGCTTTCACATATTGAATTGCTCTTACGGACAGTTACAAGAACATTGTCTCATTATTTGGATATCAATGTTTGATCCGGGTGTAGCATTTTGGTGCTCGGCATTTTCTATCCGTTGCGAATTCAGACACCCAGATCCCCCACAAACATCTTTTTTCGTCAACCCATTCGTACGAGAACCAAGACTTTTAGTAACATGATTTTATACTGGGGCTCAGACCATTCTTCATGATAATGACGTCTAGGGCCAGATAGATTTTGGGCAGACCCCTGATTTCGAGACCAGCGGACAAGCTAGACTCCCCGATCCTGAATTTAGCAAAATCGAATAACTAGTTCAGGAATGTCGGCCGTCGGTTATGTGAACTTTATTCAATCTCAGCATCCAATTTAGATCATTTTCTTTGCTGAAATCTATTCTTGGTATGAGGCTCTTGGCCGGTACCACTTTGAAGGCAAGAATGTGTTGGCTAACTCAATTCTCGGGAAACTATTGGAACCATTGCACAGGTACGAGTTATTGTGGGTGACCCCTCAGTAAATACGGGGGGAACAACATATTGATGAATTGATGTGTTATGTATGCCAAGCAACGTGACAAGTGGAATCAACGGATGTGTCGAACATCGGTGAATCAAATTTAATATATAATGTGTCGAGTTCTTCCTCGAAACTCATGATATCAAGCAATCAATCCATCATACTTTAGGATCATCACTTCTTAAAAACCATTTAAATTCGCATCCTCGATCCAACACAACAGCATCCAATCAACAAGGAACAATACAGTTTCAAATCAAAATGCATTTCCAAGATATTGCATTCGCTCTCTTTGTGACTGGAGCCTACGCTGCACCAACTGCTTTAAAATCTAGAGATGCATGCTCAGATAGCTGCAACACTGAGTACAACACCTGTCGAAGTGCTCCGGATGCAAACCGATCCACTTGTGCTTCCAATTATGCATCATGCCTTGGATATTCTCCATATGATAGCAATGGATCATTCGTCACCCCTACTGCTTGCTCGTCAGTAGCAAAATCATCTACAGGTTCATCCGCCGCATCATCCGCTACAACTAATGCTTGTGTATCCCAATGCAACGCATCATACAACTCTTGTCGAAGTGCTCCAGGCGCAAATCAGTCCACTTGTGCTTCCAACTATGCAGGATGCCTCGGATATTCTCCGTTCGATAGTAATGGATTACTCGTCACCCCTACTGCTTGCTCGTCAGTAGCAACATCATCTACAGGTTCATCCGCCGCATCATCCGCTACAACTAATGCTTGTGTATCCCAATGCAACGCATCATACAACTCTTGTCGAAGTGCTCCAGGCGCAAATCAGTCCACTTGTGCTTCCAACTATGCAGGATGCCTCGGATATTCTCCGTTCGATAGTAATGGATTACTCGTCACCCCTACTGCTTGCTCGTTAGTAGCAACATCAACCAATGTTGCAACCACAACCACTACTCAAGCTGCTCCATCTACCACAGCTGACGCTTGCGTATCCCAATGCAATGCATCATACAACTCTTGTCGATCTGCTCCAGATGCTAACATGTCTACATGTGCTTCTAACTATGCATCATGCCTTGGATTTTCTCCTTTTAACAACGGTGGATCCCTTGTCACACCTACTGCTTGCTCGTCAGTACCAACATCAACCACTGTTGCGACCACAACCACTACTCAAGCTGCTCCATCTACCACAGCTGACGCTTGCGTATCCCAATGCAATGCATCATACAACTCTTGTCGATCTGCTCCAGATGCTAACATGTCTACATGTGCATCTGAATATGCCACATGTCTTGGATATCTACCATTTGACAACAGCGGATCCCTCGTCACTCCTACCGCATGTTCCAGCAGCGCCGTTTCTACAACAAGTGCACCAAGTTCCACACAAGCTCCTCAAGCTTCCGGAAACGAACGGACTATCAAGCAATTGATCAGATACTGTTCCGAAGATGGATCTGGATGTGATTATAACTTTGCCATCTCCTACAACGATGAGCGACCTGATGAGAGATGTACCGTCATTCGTATGCCAGGAAGTGGTGCTACTACCGAGTCCTGGTATGGAATTCCATGTACTACAGGATCTGTCAACACTATCTCTTGGGGAGTTTCTGAACAGTTTGGTGTTGAAAATGCATTTGCTGTTTTGACTGTCACCAACAACGAAGAGAAGACAAATGCTTATTTCGGTGTTGCGAATGTGAACAGTAACCCGGTCACTCCTTCAAGTCCTGCTGGATCCGGCAACTTTGGAGATATTGGTCCTGAACCAGTTTATGGTTTCTAAGAGATGGATTGCTTTGTTGATTTTGTAGCGACTTGGAGATGAATTAATGAACGATTAGATGATTGTCTTGGATCACTATGTGATAACACGTTCCTTTGTATGTTTTTGTTTGAGGCTTTGGGATGATAGGAAATAAGGAATTACCTTGCGAATAGGACACTCATTAGATGTAATTATTAAATATAATCAATAATTTTTTGGATTAGCTAAATACCCTTCTAATCAAATTCTAAATTATTCAGACGCTTTATTATACTTGTCTATGTACATTTCAATGTAATTTCTTCAAATGGATTTTTTAAAGGAGTATATATATTAAATAAAGCATCTTTGAGATTAATTCAAATTTATTAAAAATGATGAATTTTAGAGCTTTTTATGATGAATCATTGTATAGTATACACAGTATAAAGATTTCCGTCGTTAATAGAATTCTTTTTTCATAGGATTTCATTCATTATTTGAATTGTTTATATAGTTTTTAATTAGAGGTTTACCTTCTTAATAATTTTATTGTTCGCGAGGACCATGATACTAATATATACATAAAAAAAAGAAAACTCTCGTTTAGCGAAACTCAATTCAAGCGATCTAATTAGCCAGAATGAATTTTGATATTATTAGCATTATAGCAGGATATGATATCTAATTATCTTTTTTAATAAAATTAATCTAATTATTATTCCATGGACTTTTTTAATGGATTACTACTGATGATGACTCATTTTGATAGAGGGGTGGTGACTCAGATAAAAAGTCACTATTTAATTACTACCTAACTATTATTCTACGGAATTTTTTAGTGGTCAGTACTAGTAGTAACTATAACCCTAATGAGGGTAGTGATCCAGTCAAAACCCCTCCAATTGATTATTACCTCTCTACCCTTCAATTTTAAGCTTTTTAAAAATTTGAAAAAAGAAATAAATAAAGATTTAATTGAATTATTTATATATGAAATTAAATTTTCAATATCCTCAATATTGATTGATTTATATTATTCACTCTAAAGCTTAGAATTAATAAGGTTAAAGAAAAGCTATAATAATTTTCGAAAACAAAAAATAATAATTCATAAAATAAATGAATTTGATTATTACCTTTTTACCCTTCAATTTTAAGCTTTTTAAAAATTTAAAAAAAGAAGTGAATAAAGATTTAATTGAATTATTTTTATATAAAATCAGATTTTTAATATCTTTAATATTGATTAAATTATAAAGCTAATCTTAGAGCTTAAGATTAATAAAATTAAAGAAAAGCTATAATAATTTTTGAAACCAAAAGAATAGTAATCTACAAAATAAATGAATTTGCTTATTATTTTTAATTTTAAAAAAAAAATTAATTAAATAAAGCTTTTTAATAATTTAGAGTTTATCTTTATTTATATATCGAATCTTAAAAATAAATTTAAATTATTTTTAAATTATTTTTCGAATTTATTATTTTATATTTGTTTCGAAAAAGTTTGAATTTAAAGGGGTATAAGTAATAATAATCTAATAAAAAGAGATATAAAATAATTTAATTATATAATCAAAAATTCAATATTAATAAGAATATTATTAATAAGAATACTAATAAGAATACTATAAGAATATTAATAAAAATATTAAAAGATTTATATTAAAATTGATATAAAGATTAATATAAAAATTAATATATAAATTAATATTTAGATGAATATTAAAAAGTAAATAAATAATAATAAAGTTTTAATAACTTTATTTAAATTTAATAAAATTATATTAATTTGAATAATAGATTTAGATTTGAAGATTAAGATATAGTTTGAAGAGTTATAATATTTATTTATATTTATTTATTTATTTATTTTACATCCGGAGGGCAAGCCGCAGGGGTTTATCACAATCTCCCAGAGGGTACCAGGGATAAACTATGCTAACAAGAATACCAATATAGCTATATATTCTATTCTTTTATAACTGTAATACAGACTGAAGAAAAGATAATTAAGAATGCTATAAGCATTTTTACCACTCGAATTTTGTTTATAATATTGATATTAATTAATCCCTTTTATACTAAATAGTTCAGATTTAAGCTAATTATAAAGCCCTATATTATTAATTTTATATAATATAGTTTATATATAATAGAAAAAAGGGAAAACAATTTTGGGAAGTATAACCCCAATTAATAATATAAGAGTAAAAGATTAATAAATTTTTAATAAATTCGAGCTTGATTATTCGAAATGATTAATAATTATTAGAAAAGTTATAAAATCTATTAGGATTTTTAAAAAAAAGCGGAAAAGGATAAGTTTCTTAGGTTTCTTAATTTAATAATTAAAATACTAACATCGATATTAATTAATAAGAGTGATTTTATTATACTTTTATTACCTCTATTCTATTTCTCATTTTAGTATCTATACCGTTAAGCTTATATTATTAATAGTAAGTAAGAATGAGTTATTATAATTAATATAATTACTGTAAGTGTCTAGATTAACAAGCTAATCAGCCTTTTTGTTTTCGAGGATTTCAGTATATCTAAATAATTATTAAATAATTGTCTACTTATTCCTTATAATCTTATAATAATATAGGAATGTCTATTAAAATGAGTTAAGAATATTATTCTTAATATATTAAATAATTAATATACTATTAATATATATTATAATCTATCTAACTAATTCTAGCTGGATAATATACTTTAGTCTTTTTAAAGTGCTTATTGTTTTAATATTAAAGATATATAAAAGTAAATTGATCGCTTTATAATTGAATATTATAAAAGATTGTCCTCAATAGATTGTATAATTATAATTAATAATCTTTTGTTTTTGATAATATTGTTTAATATTATTTAAAAAGATTATAATATAGCTATTAAGTAGACAATCCCATTATATTTGAATTCAAATGTAACTATCTTTTTCTTTATATTTCCTATAGAATTAATATAGTACCTACCCCTTATGCGAGGGCCCTTTCATGGCATAAAAGGAGGGCACGGCCGTTATTTGTCTGGGAACATAACCCCAAGACCCCACACGACCCCCACATGATTTTATAAAAGGGATTTCACAAAAGGGGATTTCTTGGGTTCCTCATCCCCGCCTCCCATCCCGATCTTGCAACCGTAGAACGTCTCGTTGCCATTCCGCATGGCCTGCGACCTCGCATACAACTCTGACCACCAGGTTCTGATCTGCACACAGTGCCAGACGTGCATCGCTCCAGGGGCCCGAAGTATCGCGCAACACCTCCGAGCCGAACCCCACCGCCTGTCAGGTGATCTTTTGAAAGCTCAACTGAGCTACGCTCAATCGTTAAGTCTGAAGACGAAGCGTCAATTGCGAGAAGACAAACCTGCGCGTAGGGCTGCGCAGTTAGAGCATCTCAGAGTCTTCCACGGCTTTCAGTGTTTATCATGCGATCCATCCTTTTTAACCACTCACCTCCCACGAATGCGGGATCACATGGTGACTCATGGCCGGAAAGCGAGCGAGCACAAAGCGACCCCGCTATGGCAGGCATGCTTACTCCAAACGTACTTTACTGCACCGAGGTATGTTGATTACTTTGTGGTTGTTGCAAATCCTGGGCCCCATGGTGGAAATGGCGATGTGATCCCTTTAACCCGGTCGGAGAAGGATTCCATTGATCAGATTGAGCAAGATGCGTTGAATGTCAAAAAGGATCTCTTCAAGGCAGCTGGCGTCGTTCGGGACATTAAGGAATCTCGCTCCGAGAGGGTACCGTGGTTGCACGACGTCACCAAGTTCCCTTTTCACTTAGTTCATTTAAAAGACGAGGAGATTTGGGCTTCGTATAAGCTCCCATCGAAGAAGGAATTGGATGGAGATTACCTTGAAGCGGATGATCCTCAACTTGTTCGCATCCTCCATGCCGCCGAAGCTATGATGCGAGATGCCTATCAATTGTGCTCTGATACATCCCCCGATCGTAAGATGACTCAGCAGCGAGCTAACATCCTCAATGAATTTTATTCCGGAGCGAGTGGCAAGGCGGATGGGTTCCGATATCACAAGAATGCTTCGACGTTGGTCAAATACTTCCTGATCGGGAAACAACTCTTGGTATATTATTATCGAGTGGTGTATTCGGAGGATGGCTTTTTCACCGCCACGGAATCGGATCAATCATTACCACGTGATATTATCGAACCGACCTCAACCCAAATTCGTGCGATGGATGCTATCATGGAAGCCTTGAATATGGAAGATCCCGAAGAATCTGAATTAGCTTTGAAGCATGCTATTCGACGATTATATCTAGCCTTGATTTGTCACTCGATTGGAAGTGCACCGTTTAAATCACCGGTCTTGAGTTTTTGTGCTATGAAGAGTCGCATGATTTATGGGCGGGGATTGTGGGAAGAGCCAGGAAATTTTAATAGTTACCTGTCGGCTCTCACGTGGACGGCGCAACTGATCCTCTTTGGTTTTGTCTGTTTTCAAGAGCAAGAGGACGAAGATCAAATTCCCATTCTCCTCACCACGCTCTGCAAGAAGTTCTTTCAACAATTAGCCGAGACCCCCTTCGGTTACATTCTTCAGTGGCGTTTATATTTATTCAAGGTGAGTAAGGCTTCCATTGCTAAACACCAAGCTCGATGGTCTTTGGATCGACAGATTGTGGGGTATCGCGGGGTAGAAATATCCATGGAACAGATTTCGAACGTGGTGCTTTCGGAATTTCAACAAGCTCACTCTCTCCTGTACGATGAATTGTTATTTGGCATGCAAGATTTAATTTCGATGGTTTCGTGGCGGATGAAGGATGATCTGGATTCCGAGGATTTTGGGGATTCTTGGCTCTCCCACTCACACAATTCGGAATTTTTAGAAGGGGCAGATCTGAGGCTTTTTCGATACATCAAGACGAACACTAAATTGCACACCACTTTCTTCAAGGTTGATCAAGAGGGAGGGTTAATCTTGTGTTCGAAAGCTATGAAGATATATGAAGTGCAAGCTCAGGAATTCTTAAAGCGACTCT